GGTGGAGCTACCTTAGCAATAAATAAAACGTGTTTAATACATAAGATGCTGCACAGTAGAAACAACTGGAAACAGCTGGATTTGGACCTAAACAGCTGTGGTTTGTTCAGCTGTGTGAGCGCTGTCCCTGCTCTCTGCAGGTTCATCATCCTGGCCTGTGACGGCCTGTTCAAAGTGTTCTCAGCCGACGAAGCCGTGAAGTTCGTCCTCGGCGTCCTCCAGGTATTAGCCTGTCCTCTTTAACACCACAAATCACATGTTAATACAAACTGCACGTTGCTGCGTCAGCAGGAAGTGCGACGGACGAGTGCAACAAAATAAGAGCGCAGTTAGCGTGTCTGCAGATTAGTTTCATGTAACTTTGGATTGACCCAAAGTGTTTTTCATCTGTGAGGGTGTAATCTGTGCAGTCACCCAGGTAATCTAAGGAGCTCAGGAAGAAAAGCAACTGCTTCTTTAAGTGTCATGAAGACGTTTGACCTCTCACTGTAGGATGGTGGAAGCTGGACCCTTAATCGAATCGAGGAGGGGGCCCAAGGGTCCATCTTTCACCATCTCACAGTGAGAGGTGAGACGTCGTCATGACACTTAAAGAAACAGAAACATGTTCAATCGAGGCTCTGCTTCATAGTTTAGACTTATATGTATGTTTTAAAAAAAGAGACTGTATGCAAAAGATGGAGACACCCACTGCGACGTCACCCACTGGTTTTGGCCTTACTCCAGTTAAACATGTGAGTTCTGCTGGGTGACCTTCATCCTCCTCTTCATGCCTACAGGAGGGGAGCAAAGAGAAGGGGGCGGGGCAGATGGAGGAGGAGCCGCGGTTCGAGGCCGCCTGTCAGCAGCTGGCAAGCGAGGCGGTGAGACGAGGCTGCGCTGACAACGTCACTGTGATCCTGGTTTCTATTGGCTACTGAACTCATCGTCCTCATCTTTGTTTCTGTGTGGCTGCTGTAACGTCCGCTTCTTTTACAATAAAAAATGTTTTATTTTCCGTCTCCATCAGCTGATTTGTCCCGTCAGTGTTTGAATTTGTTAACTTTATTAACACAAACGCGACATAAAGAGGAAACGCATCAGACCGTGCAGCCCGATCATTAAACAACACAGCAGGTACAGGTTTGTTCTTCTTCTGTGAAGCAACAAATAATCGAACTGGATGAAGAAAACATTTGTTCAGTGTTTCATCGTAACTTCTGATAAAAAGCTATGTACGCCATTTTTTCTGCCAATAAACAGGAAACAAAAGGTGAAATTATGCTGGTGAAAGTCAAACGTTTCACTTTGTTGGCCTCGAAAGATTACATGCATTTTATTCCTCACAGAAGTCGGTTTGCAGCAGCGAAAAACACTGAAAACATGCAAATCTGCTATAAAAAGCCAGAACAGGAAAAGCTGCTTCATGTTTTTCTGTTTGA